CTGGAGAAGGAGAAGGTAGGCGCCCCTCGGCCTGTCGTCCACTCGGTCATTTAACACAATGTTCGGGGCCCCTGGTTCTCAGGGCCAGGCCGGGGGTGGGGTTCAAAAGAAGGAAGCGGGACCCTGGGTGCGGAGCTTGCGAGCTGGGGGCATGCGATCAGGACCCCACGGCCAGGCTCGGGGCCGCTGTCTGAGGCACTGGGCCGAGGGGCTCCGGGGTGCCTGCCCCCTTCTGGCCGTGGCACTTGGGAGAGACCCTTGTTTCCTCTGCCAGTCTGGGCGCTCCCATCTCTGCCTTGCTGGCTGGCAGGGGTGGGACCCGTTAGAAACAGGCTGTTTGCACCCTGGGTACCCCAGGGAGCTCTGGGCGAATGGTGCCCAGCCCGGGCAGTCAGAGCCGGCCTCCCAGAGACACGGCTCAGAGGCTTCAGAGGCCAGTGCGTGTTCCCAAGCGGAACTGGGGTGAAGGCGGAAGGCGGGGGCGAGCACGGGGCCCGGGCAGCGGCGCGTGCAGAGCGAGAGAGGAACGGCAAGGCTTGGCGGGAGCCCCGCCTCTGAGAACTGGGGCGTCCGGGCCACAGCCCAGCCCCGGCTCTGCTTCTCCAGCAAGTGGCAGCAGCTGGGGAGCTGAGACCTCTAGTCGCGAGGCAGGTGGGCTAGCTGGGAGGTCCTGCTTGCGGGGCCTGGACGCCTGCCTAGAGGGTGGGGGTGGGGCAGGCGGCAGTGAGACAGCCAGTCGGGGGAGGAAGAGCCCCACCCGAGAGCCACCGAGTAGGTCTTTGGGGGGCCCCAGGATGAAGCAAGAGGACTTAAGAAAGATTCCTAGGGCCCTGGCCTCGGGGACCAGGCAGCAGTCTGGCGCCCAGGAGGAAGGGCTTCAGGACAGGCTTGATCAAGGTGTGGGCCTGGGCGTCTTCTGCTAGAGGTTGGCGAGGGCAGACAGTCCGCCCTGTGGAGCATTCGCGCCAGGGAGGGCGGGGTCGGGTCTCGGGCTCACCTGGGGCGTGCTGGTGCTTCCTCTCCAGGACCTGTTCAGCCGGCAGAAGGGCTACCTGGAGGAGGAGCTGGACTACCGGAAGCAAGCCCTCGACCAGGCTTACCTGGTAGGACCGGAAGTGGGCTCGACACTACTCTTAGGCTGGCTTCCCTGCGGGGCTGACACGGCACTTGGGGTCCTCGCTGTGCTGGGTGGGGCCACCTAGGCGCCGTCTCCCCTCGCGACTGGAACGGCGGGGTACATTGTCGCTTGCAATTATCCGAGCAGAAAACCTACCTGACGTAGAGAGATTGATCAACGTATTTGGGAAATCAGCTGTATTTGTGGATTTACTGGCACGGAGGTCAATTCCGATCCACCTCCCCCATTAAGAAGGGAAATCGGGTTATGTAGGTTTGGGGGACAAGGAGTGAGGATGAGAACAAGGAGTGAAATTCGAGGCTGAAAGGTGAGTTGGGGGCAGAGAAGCTTCCGAGGTGGCTCAAGTTCATCGGCGGGGTCAGGGCAGTCACCGGGGCAGGAGGAAGCGGCTTCTCCGCGCTCCCTGGAGTTTGGGGGTCGGCGGTGCCCCTCGGTCTCGGGCTGCCGGTGAGCTCTGCTCCCCGTTGTCAGCCTCTGTTGGCTCGGCCTAGGTCACACCTGGCCCCGGAGGGGCAACTGCAAAGGGCGAGCTGAAAGCCCCTTTCTGCCCTTTGCGCGCCCCGGGCCTGAGGCCCGTCTGAGCGGCCACAGCCCGGCGGCTTCCCTCCC